CATCCCTGCCTGGCTTACCTGCCCTCTGTGCCCCTGGGTTGGAAAGGGGCAACCCAGGGACTCTGTGGAAAGGGCACACCTGGTGAAAGGAGCTGCTGTGCTTGCAGAGGTCTGCAGACCCAGGCTACCGGTGGCCTTTCCAGCACCGCCCGGCTCCCAGGCACCTGGCTGCTACTGCCACACTCCTACCCCTGCCCAGGCTCGCACTGCTTCGACCCCTGCCAGCCGGCGCCCCGCTCCTGCCTTCTTCCTGCACCTTCTGTGCCCTGCTCCTACCCCTACTCCACACACGCCCCATTTCTACCCATGCCCTGCTCTTAGCAAAGCCCAGGCCTTGCCCGGCTCCCACCTGCCACCTTGCCTTGCCTCTTCCCTCTCCTCCAGAGCAGCCTGCATGGTCTTGCCCCGGCAGTGATCCGAGCCGGGCGCACAGCGGCTGAGTGCTCCAGAGACCCTGCCCCGAGGTGACATTCCCACGTCTGCCACATCCGGGCAGACGGGGCGGCTAGGCTTAGCACCGTACCCCGCCACCAAGACCTGCTGGCCAGAGCCACTGTCCCTTCAGCCGTCGCCCTAGCACGCACTGGGGATGGCAAAAGTGATATCCGGTGCTGCCGCAGCCGCAGCTGCTAGGCAAAGGTAAGTCTTGCTGGCTGCAGGTTCCCGGACAGGCCAGCGCAAAGGTGGCCTAGAGTGCCAAGCGATGGAACCGAGGCTTTGAGAAGTGCCTTTCTGCTTGCGCTGGGCAGCTGGCTGCAGTCACTGGCCACCTGGCCTCAGCTGGGAGTGCACTGGCAGGCAGTCAGCATGCAGCGCAGGTCTCCAGCGCCAAAGCGGCATCCTGAAGCACACAGGACAGCCCTTTCTGGGCAGGCGTGGATGAAGAGCCAGGGATCCCAGAAAGATGAGGCTGGCGCGGGATTTGCTGTTTTTGCAGGAGATGGCGGAGTCCTGGTTTCCTATTTGAGCTCTACCTCCCTTATTTCTGTTCCAGCTCTATCGCTTTGGATGGCAGAGGAGTCTGAGACTCTTAGGCAAGGCTGCTTTGCTTTCCTGCATTTTTGCCACCCTGGGTCTTAAAAACATAGAAGCCTGCGGCTTCTGGGGTGGCTTGGAGGGGCTGCTACAGCATGCCGAGACCCAGCCTGCAGCCTGGGAATCCTGTGCCACTGTCTGGTGGGGCATCTGAAGATGTAGCTTTGGGGCCATGGGAGGGCTCAGGGCCAACACTTATGGGTGCAAGTTTTAGGGCTGGGTGTCACGGGCCAAGGGTGCTGCTAAACTGAGGATGGGGTGCAGTGTGTGGCACTGGGTGTCAGGGGGCAGGCTTGCTGCAGTGCAGAAAACAGAGGTGATGCAGTGGGGGGTGGGGTCCTGGGCATCAAAAGTCAGGGTGACAGAGCAGGAGCACTGTCATCTCAGACAGACACCACCACTTTAAGTTCCAGCTCCCTTTCTAGCCTGATGCATTTCAAGGAAATCACTTCTCTTCTAACTACACAGTTCCACCATGAGTGTGAGAGGTGAGTGCTGGGTCTTCATTTCCCAGTACAGAATGGGGAGAGGAATGTTCATGTTCTCCAGTGGGTGGCTCAGGCCGGGTGTTGGAGGAAGAGCTTGAGGAAGCGAGGGCTGTGCCTGGGTGTGCAGGGATGGTGACACCTCCAAGGCCAGGGCTGGCTCCCATCTCTGCTCCTCCTCCCGCTGCTCCTCCAGGCCACCCCTCCTGGCTGAAGGCCCAGGAGGAGAGATGTCTGCAGAGGCCCCGCACCCCACACTGGGTCCCCTGCTCTGCATTTTGTGAAGAAGGAATTTAAGTCTGGGATGGAGGCTGCACTGCCATGATGGTGACTTTTGTCTTCATCAGACACCAGGGAGGTAGCTGCCATTGGCATTTATTGAGTGCCCAGTGTATGCATTAGGCTGTGCCTGCATCTGCAGAGCCCAGGGTTTTCTTGATGGTTTGGCAGAGAGATGCTGAAATTCAGGGCACTAAAAATGGGAAAGGCTGTCGGGTTTTCCGCATGGAGGCCCTGGCTTATAGATGAGTGCAACTGGGCTGTGGAGCCATGAGCTGAGGCAGCTGCTCCCAGAGTGAGGCTCCAAGGACCATCCCATCACTCCAGCCTGCCCCAGGCCTCTCCTCCACACCTGCTCAGTGCCCGGCATCACACCAAGGCACGATGGGTGACCCGATGCCTCGTTATGCCCCTTCCTTTTATGTTTAGACACAACAGCTGCCCAGCTTGCATGTTCCAGTCAAGGTCATAAGACTGACAGAACAGATTCTGTGGCAGTGAAGGTATCAAAGTGTAAACAGCACCTAAAGCCAGGCCCGGCAAGGGTTGAGACACACCCCCCTCAACTTAAGGAATAAACTGTTCTGACTGCCACGGGGTTTCTTTTTCTCTAGCGGCTAAATAAGCACTATTCACAGTTGTAGCTCAGTGTCCGGCACTGACTAAATGGCCCCCAACCCCTGTTCCAGCAGCCGTAGCTACAGCTCCGACTGGACAAGAGACTGATTTCAGCAACTCTGCCCTGGGAAGAGACCACCTGCCATGCGCTGGTTCTGGCCGGTTTACAGAGGCTGTGCCCTTGTGTGCCTTTGTGTCCTGAAAAGACCTTTTGAAGTATAGGGCCTAAGTGTGATACATTTAAATATTAAGTCTTCACCCCATAGTGAACCTGGGTCACATGTTACATGTATGTGTATTAGGTTTGCATGCATCAGGACCACCTCATGAATATTCATGGCTCCTCCTGTAACCTGTTGAAGGTTTCTATTCAGCCAGCCTGTCCAGAGTAAAGCTGCTGTCCCACCCAGCTCCTCTGCCCATGTACCAGGGTCTGGCCTGGGCAGGAGGCACACTTCCAGCCTGCAGGATGGCCACCTTGGGGGCCATAGGCTTTCATAAGAAATCAAGTCTCTTCCCAGAGGCTCTTTAGTTTAATTAGGTCTTACCAGGCTTCAGCGGCAGGATTTACCCATGTAACAAACTGCACATGAAGCTGCTGAACCTAAAATGAAGGGAAGGAAAAAAGTCTCCACTTGTTTCCTGAATGTATAAATCTTGTGTTTCCTTTAAGTTAATGGAGTGAATTAAATGGTTCCTTTGTAGAGCAGCATTTCAGGTCTACATTAGCTTTCTTTACCTTGTCACTCCGTAACCCTCTGGTTAATTTCCCTGAATGTTTTGTTCACTTGTCAGTCAACTCACAGTGGCTGAGGCAGAAGGAAAACGTACCCCTGTTTTACCCTTGGCTTGTGTCATAGAGTGGCAGGTCTTTTAAGAGATCTTAAAGACATTCAGAAATTAGTAAGTTTGCAACTTAGTTGCATACAGAGAAAAACTGATGAAGTCTCACTCTGTCACCAGGCTGGAGTGCAGTGGCATGATCTCAGGTCACTACAACCTCTGCCTACTGGGTTCAAGTGATTCCCCTGCCTCAGCCTCCCAAGCAGCTGGGACTACAGGCACATACCATCATACCCGGCTAAATTTTGGTATTTTAGTAGAGACAGGGTTTCACCATATTCACCAGGCTGGTCTTGAACTCACGACCTTGTGATCTGCCCACCTTGGCCTCCCAAAGTGCAGGGATTACAGGCATGAGCCACCTTGCCCAGCAGGTTTTATTTTTTTAATGTATTTTCTATTTTAATGTATTCTTTTTTTTTTTCTTAATGTATTCTCTATTCTCTGGGGAAAATTTCTTCCCCAGTTTGCACTGGAGATGTGAATCTTTTCCAGTTTTTTCTTCGGTCTCACCACTGACTCTCTTTCTCTGTCTCATGCATGCATATGTGTGTATATATATATATATATATATGCACGTGTGTGTGTGTGTGTGTGTGTATTTATGTATGGTGTATATTATGTGCAAACACACATTTTTCTGTTCAGTTGTTAGCAATTATAATTCTCCATTTAGACAGGTAATATTACCTGTCAGTGACCTCAACTAGGTAATCCCTGGAAAAATGGAAACATCTGTATTAATGCAGCTTTCATACCTCATCAATGTCACATTTGATTTAATAGTTCTTAAGCTTATGATGGATCTGCAGTGATGGAAATTTGCACTGAACCATTTCCTATCTTAATGGATATCTACTTTGTTTTAAACAGGATAACGCTCACATTTTTATTCTCTAATTTTCAGCTGTTCCCTGTTTTTGGAGGGGGGCGGTCTTGTCAGTTGCCTTCCAGGTGCTAATTCTCATGATGAGATAAGAATGGGTGTGACTGGGTGTTGACTGATGAGCCAGAACACATTTAGTCCTGGAGTCTGAGGTTATCAGAACACCCCACTTAGAAAATCATTTTTTTTTTTTTTTTTTTTTTTTGAGACAGAGTTTCGCTGTTGTTACCCCGACTGGAGTGCAATGGCACGATCTCGGCTCACCGCAACCTCTGCCTTCTGGGTTCAAGCAGTTCTCCTGCCTCAGCCTCCCGAGTAGCTCGGACTACAGGCGTGCATCACCATGCCCAGCTAATTTTTGTATTTTTAGTAGAGACGGGGTTTCACCTTGTTAACCAAGATAGTCTCAATCTCTTGACCTCGTGATCCACCCGCCTCGGCCTCCCGAAGTGCTGGGATTATAGGCGTGAGCCACCATGCCCGGCCACAAAATCATTCTTTACATATTTTCAAACAACACATTGGTGAACATATAATGCTTCTTTTTTCTTCATCTCTGAGTGAACAGCCAGGCTTTCATGTGTACATTCACAGAGAGATCTTAAAGAGATTCAGAAATTAGTAAGTTTGCAACTTAGTTGCATACAGAGAAAAATAGTAGATAATATAGACAGCTGATAAGAGAAGACTTTATACAATTACTGTGAGTTGTACTCTTAGAGATCAACTTTTAAAAATTAAATTTATACTAAGGCAAATTAAACTTTAATCTGGAGCAAATTTAAAATTGCTGAAAATAGAAATTGTTGAATATAGAAATTGTGGATGACACAGGAATAGTAAGAATGGGTGGGACAGTACTTCATATCAGGGTAGGAATTTCACTTTATTCTGAACGTGTTAGTTTTGACCCTCTTCACCCTGAAATTTTCACTATCAAATATTTTGGAAGGCAGGTCTTTTTTCCTCATTTAACATTTATTTAATACACAGAGAATAATACTGAGGGTCTGGGATTCCAGTTTTGAAATGAAACATGGACTCTGAGTGACCCTTGTCCTTGTCAAAGTGCACTGGTCTAGATAGCGGCATTTGGACCCCATAGTGTGGCACCTGTTTCTGTGTACATTTGCATATTCTGATGACCTGTTGCTGAGGTCACGTGATGATGTATAGCCTGTCTTCATCCCAACTGACAATGTGTTTCAACTGTCACCTAGACTACTAGTCAAGATGGGAGGCCTCTGTTCCTGCCTTGGAGGTATGTTCATTTCCATCTTCTCACTGCAGTTTCTTCAGATTTTAGGCCACTTGTACTAAAAATGTCTTCCTGAATTATTCTTTTCCCAGATTTGTACATCCAGTTTGTCTACAGATGTACAAATTTGCTTTGGAGTTTTATGTCTCAATTTGTATTTTTGATTCTGCTATAAATCTTTTTGCTTTAAATATTTTTTTCTGTTTAGAAAAATGTACTGTTTCCTAGGCCAATTTAGTTCACACATTCGTAGAATAGATCCAGAAGAAACACAACAACCTTGCCTTAATCATGTCAGGGGATCTCGATACCAAATACAGTAGGAGCCATTCTGTGAAAGGCAGAGAGATTACAGGCCAACATCTTCTAAACTGAGTTGTGAAACTCCTAAATCAAATTGTGGAAAAGCTTGACTCCAGAGATTTTTTAGAAAATAAACTGAGATTTTCTGAAGGGAAAAAGTATCCTAGTTAAGAGGTTTTGGGGGATTGTTTTAAATTAAAGGCATTTTAAAAAGATAAACACAATCAAGTGGATATAAAAAGTTACAAAATAGAAAAAAATAATATTAGAGGTTACAAAAGGTAGATGAAAATCTTACTTTGCAGTCAAAATGGACTGGGCTAGATAGATTTCTTTGTAAGGTGTTATTAAAATTAGCTACAATATTAAAAATACACTAATACCAAACTAAAATTTTGGTTTAAAAAATAAGCTTTTGTTAAGATAGATAATTTGTTCTCAGTGAAATACAAGAGGTAATAATTTTTCATTCTGCAATGTTTTTTATTTTAAACTTCTCAGATTTATACCTCAGAGGTTCGACTTTTACTGTGTCTCTTTACCTGTAATTTACAGGTCCCACATCATTGCCTTCTGTTTCTTTTCTCCTGGAAAAGGAGCATCTTTACACCTGGCTTGGATGATAACTCTTGCCTTTAAATTTTCATCAGCTTCATTAACTTACTTCTCCCCTCCAACCTGGGTTGTAATTCTGCTGCTGTAATGCTAAACTGCTTATTTTTATAGGCCCCAATTACTAATGTTGGTCTCAGATGTAACATGATTTTGTACTCTTGGCCTTTTGATATGTCTTAATGTTTCAGGTGAGCCAGAAACCACCCATGCTATTAGTTAGAGCCACATATTCCCCTGTTCAAGTTACTAGCTCTTCTGCTTACACTCCTCTGTAATCCAGCATTCACTCATGACTGAACACATGCTGTGTCTCATTAAATGTGAGTGCCCTTCTCATCAGGTGTGACTTCTAAGGTATTCAGTAGACTTCATTTAAACACTGTTCACTCTCAGGCAGGCCTTAGTTCAGCCTGCTCAGAGGGTTGCTCAGATGGATAGTCAGTGAGACAGTGGTGGTCACAGATTTCATTCATTAAATCACTGAAGTGCCAGCCCTGATGGCCATGTTTTCAGTTAACTGTTCATGCAGGGTTGGTCAGTTGAAGGGAAGCTGATTCTTGGCACAGCCATCAAGTGGCAGTTGGCTTAGAATATTCTGAGTTTTAGCCATCTTGGGGGCCAAGCAGACCCCTGTTCCCTCAGGATGGTCACTGGTCATGGGGATGTTCACCACCAGGCAGCTGGCAATGTGAAGCTGCTGGGGAGGATGGCCTGACATTTGAATTTATTCATCAGAGAGGCTTTGTTTGCAGGAAAGCGCCATATTTTAGGTCAAGAATTAAAATCTAGAAACAGAAGTTTTGTTTGAATGATTTGAGCTCTTCTCTGGACTTAGCCACCTACCGGCATCCACCTTCCTGAAGAGACCCTGGGGAGGAGGATTGAGAAAGGGAGTGAAAAGAGCTCCTGATTCAGGATCCAGGCCAGGATTTAGAGGTCTCGGGTGTTCAAAGACCTGTTCCCCGGAGAACTATCTACATTCTTGTTCCAGATCCTTCACTCCTGAGTGCTGTGACTCTAGTCAGGTCGCTTCAAATCTCTCAATTTCACTTCCCTGAGCTGTCAACTGTGGGTGGCAGCCCCTGCCCTGCCCATCCATCTGGGCCAATGTGGGCATCACAGGAAATAACAGATACTGTCCATGAGCGCTGAAGCACCAGGCCCATGTGAAGGAGGAAGAAAATTTTATTCTCTACTTCCCTGGTGCCCTGTCCCCCAGCACCTTGTCATATTAACCGCTGCCAAGGGCCTGGCTTACTTTCAGACATGTAATGATTGAACATGAACGGCACTCAGCAGGCACTGCATTGCTTCAGGCATTACCTCTGTTTAATTACTTTTGGCCTTAGGACATAACATAGCCCATTATGAACATGTGACACTCAGAAGAGGAAACTGAGGCACAGAAAGGTCTATAGAACTCCTCAGGTTCATGTATTTTCCAAATAAGGACCAGACCTTTGTGCACCAGGCCCTGCGCTCTTAGTCACTCCATCTGCCACCTTTCTACGTTCTCACCTCAGCACAGGGGTTTGCCTGCACAGTCGGTCTGCACAGTTTTCAATGCAGGCAAGTTCTTCCTAATGCCCAACTCAGATTCAGGAGGCTTATCCCTGCAGGTGGTGGACAGTGGACCATGGATCAAACATGGAGCCCTATGGTCCCCAGCCTTTCTGAGAGCAGGAGGGACCAGTTTCATGGAAGATAATTTTTCAGTGGGGTGGGGTGGAAGGGTTCTTTCAGGAAGATTCTAGCACATTTATTGGGCACTTTGTTTCTATTATGATTACATTTTAGTTAACGAAATAATTATACAACTTGCCATAATGTAGAGTCAGTGGGAGCCCTGAGCTTGTTGTCCTGCAACTAGACAGTCCCATCTGGGGGTGATGGGAGAGAGTGACACATCATCAGCCGTTAGATTCTCACAGAGCGCATGCAGCCCAGATCTCTGTGCAGCTCACAGTAGGGTTTGTGCTCCTCTGAGACTCTAATGTTATGGTTACTGTGACAGGAGGCGGAGCTCAGGCGGTGACGGGAGTGATGGGAAGTGGCTGTAAACACAGATGCAGCTTTGCTCCAGCCAGCTGCTCACCTCCTGCTGTGCAGCCCGGTTCCTAACAGGCCACAACTATCTGTGGCCCAGAGGCCAGGGACCCCTGATTTAACCTATTTCCCATTTAGAAAATAAAAGTGCAGCTTGCTGGCAGCACGGTGTTCTTGGGGACACAGGAAATGGGTTAAACTGTGAATAAATGATTACTCATTTCTCTATGGTCTTCTGCAGCAAGATGTCAACAGCTGTCTTTATTTTAATACATTTCCCAGAATGTTGCCTCAAAAGGCAGAAGAGGTTTCTCCAAGATTTCAGCAAAAATGGCCAAAGGAAAAATATGCCCCCTGACCATTTCATCATCCTAGCATCACCAGTTTGCCACCTGAAGGTACTGTGGAAACTCAGTTACTCACTCATGCAAGCATAAGGATTCCAGATTCTTCAGTGTCCCACACTGCAGACAACTCTACAACTGCTGCACTTTATTCCTCTTTATTTCAGGTGTTCAAATTGAAATGTATCAAGTCAATCACTAGTGCTACAAATGCAGAAGTGAAGATGTATTTCCACTTCCAGCTTGGTTCGCTTTTAATAGTAAAGAACATCTCAATGCAAGGTTTAGATATTTAGCTGATTGTTAGACAGTAGCTAAAATGGAACTCTTCCTGAGATAGTGTGGCCCCATTTTCAAACAAATGGACATCATGTGAAACTTGTAAATGAACATAAAAATTGAAGTACTACAGAAAATTCCCAGACACCCTCCCCACTCAGTACCCTTTCTGTGATCACAGCTTACACGAATGTGGTGCATTTGTTACAGTGGCTGAACCGATAGTGATATCTTCTTATTAGTGAAAGTCTGGAGTTCACATTAAGGCTCACCCTGTGTTGTGCAGCCTGTGCATTTTGACAAACTCATGTCATTCATCACCCAGACAGAAGAGTTTTGCACCCAAAACATGACCTGTGCTGCACCTCTTAATCCCTTTCCTCTATTCTCAGGACCCCTGACTGCTATAGATCATTTATTTTACTGCCTGTATACATTTTTCCCCAAATTTTATAGCATTGGAATCATAAAGCATGCAGCCACTTAGGACTAACTGATTTCACTTCACAATATACATGCAAGATTTTTCATGTCTTTTAGTAGCTTAATGGCTTACTCATTTTTACCAGTGGGTCACATTCCCTTGGGTCCATGTAATGGTGTGGGTTGGTGCACGCACCTCCTGAAGAGCATCTCAGCTGCTTCCAGTTCAGGTGACTATGAATACACGTGCCCTCATTCTTGTGTGGATTTTGTAATGGGCATAATTTTAAAATTTAATGGGGTAAATGTTTACAATTTTAATCGGTTGTTTATATAATAAGACTATGTTTTCCTTTGTAAGAATTAGGTAGAATTCAGTAAAGTCACATGGGTATTTTTTTAAAGTTTTTATTGATTCAACTTCTATATTATAATAGATGTAAGCCTACTCAGATTATCAGAGTCTTCTTTGGGTAGTTATGATATAGTTTCTGCCCTTCTGTCATTTTCATCTAGGCTGTCAAATCTGTGAGCGTAGATTTGTTCTAAGTATTCTTTATTATCTGCTTGATATTAATGGGATCAGCAGGAATCATTCCTCTTTTTATTTATATTTTTTGCAAATTGTGTCTTCTAGCTTTCCTTGTGGTGAGCCTGGCTGGAAGATTATCAGTTCTATTTATTTTTCCTATGAAGCAGCTCTTGGTTCTGTTTCGTTCTGTTTATTATTTCTATTATAATGATTTCTGCAATTTTTTAATTCTATTTTTATTTCTATAGTTTTTTGTCTCTAGTTTCCTAAGGTGGAAGGTAAGAAAACTGAATTAAGATTGTTTTTAGTTTTTTTTTTTTTTCTTTTCTTGTTTCTTGTATCTTTTTCTCTTTAAGACTGAGTCTTGCTGTCTCCAAGGTTGGAGTGCAGTGGCATGATCTCAGCTCAATGCAATGTCTGCCTCCCAAGTTCAAGTGATTCTCCTGTCTCATCCTCCCGAGAAGCTGGGATTACAGGTGACTGCAACATGGCCTGGCTAATTTTTGTACTTTTAGTAGAGATGGGTTTTCACCATGTTGGTCAGGGTTGTCTTAAACTCCTGATCTCAGGTGATTCACCCACCTTGGCCTCCCAAAGGGCTGGGAAAACAGACATGAGCCACCGTGCCCAGCCTGTTGTTAGTTTTCTACACAGCATTGTGAACTAATGCCACTAAAGTGTGCATTTAACAATTAATATATATTCTGTATTTTTCACCACAATGATTTAGATGATAAGTGCAAAAGGAGCATATATAGATTCAGGAACGTTAAACATTGTAACTTTTTTTCTAAAGAAGATACTTACCAGACCAGGCCTCTTTCTGTGAGGAGACCATGTCCTGGAGTCATGCTGTGCACTTGTGTGCTGCCTATGTGAACACTGCCTACTTCACAGTGATGAGGGTGGCTTAACCAGAGACCCCAGGCTCTGTCCCCCAGCACTCTCCTGATGGTGTACTTTGCCTTCCTTCACCACCAAGGAGGGTGGCCCAGCAGCAGCTCAGCCCCTGCTCCTACCCCACCTCCTCTGCACATGCCAGCCCTGTGTCCTCAGCACCCAGGGCTGCCAGCGGGCCTTCAGCAGCTCCCATGGCTGACAGTGACTCTATGCTTCCTAGAATACCCAGTACACTGGAAGAAGTTCAGTCCTCAAAATTGCTAGCAACGTATCAAGTCTTGTCACTCCGTAAGTCTTCTTTCTTTGTCTGAGATGGGAATTTTTTTCTTTTGTTTTTTTTATTTTGAATTAAGATATACAAATTCTACCATGAACATTATAGATGAGTCACAGAATTTCCTGGTGGACAAAGGTATGTGAGTGTCCATTACCAAATTGGAACTTGTTCCAGATGGCACTCAGAGAGGACAGCTTCACTGAGGACAAACTGGATGGCAGAGAGCAATTTTTTCAGGAGAAATGCATTCTTCTGGAATATAGCTGTGACTTTGCAACAAAATCATTTTGCAAATCTTATGCAAAACTCTGTGCCTTTCCACAAGTGTCCATTAGGCTTTATTTGGGGGGCCATTACCTTGAGAACTATTTCCCAACTGGTTTTCTAATGTCACCAAGTGAAGAAAAGACCCATAACACACGGGACACAGCATGGTCTGAGGCTCACAGTGTTTTCCTGTCTCTGCACACAGAATCAGCTATTCAGGAGTATGGTACATACTATAGCATCACCCCTTTGCTAAGGAAAAATTTTAGCATTGAGAAAGGTAACACTTTCCTCCCTGCTTTTGCTGGAAAGCCACAACAATATAAGCTTCCTGCAGAAAATGAAGTTTGGGCGGTTTGGTGTAAAAAAAAAAAAATTTAGTCAACAACTGTGGCCATCCACTCTAGTTCTCAGAAGCCGTGATGTCGTTAAAATAGGAACAGGGGTGCATCAGGGTGGGGAGGCATGGAGGAGAGAGTCTGTGTGGAATGATGGTGAATGTCTTTGGGAGTGTGTGTGCCTTTCTCTAGAAAGCGTGTTCCCCTGTGCAAAGCACAACCCAAGGTTTGGTGTTCTAGAAACCAAATTCCATCCCCACTGCACACTTCATATCAGTCAACACTTTCATCCTTCACCACAGCTGTACCGGAAGAGTAGTTTAATATCCTCAGTCCTCAGATTGGAGAGAGTGGAAAGATGAATTTCCCAAGCTCTTCATTTCCTGAATGGAAAAGGCAAATGTGAACTGAGGAGTGGGTGGAAAGATGACATGATGGGCTGCTACTCTGCAGTCTTAAAAGGTAGCTATTCTGCTACCTTAAAAATGGTGAGTGAATAAATAGAATATTTTGGTTAGAATTCATTCTTCTCTCTAAAGAAAAGTTGCTGGCCAGGAGCTGCACCTCACACCTGTAATCCCAGCACTTTGGGAGGCCGAGGCAGGCAGATCACGAGGTCAAGAGATCGAGACCATCCTGGCCAACATGGTGAAGCCCTGTCTCTACTAAAAAATACAAAAATTAGCTGGGCATGGTGGCACACACCTATAGTCCCAGGCACTCAGGGCTGCCAGAGGGCCTTCAGCAGCTCCCATGGCTGACAGTGACTCTATGTTTCCTAGATTTCAACATTAACCTGTCAGGAACGGTGTCCAGTGAGATGCCCCCAGAAGCTGCTGTATCTCTTCATAGGGTAAAGTCTTTATTCTTTGTCTGAGATGGGAATTTTATTTCTCTTGGTTTCTTTCCACTTCATTTGAATTATGATATGCAAATCTCACCATGAAAATTATAGATGAATTGCAGAATTTCTTGGTGGGCAAATGTAAAAGTCAATTACCAACTAAGAACTGATCCAAGATGGCACCCATAGATGACAGCTTCAGGGACAGACTGCATGTCAGAGAGCATTTTTCTCAGGAGAAACGCTGTCTTTTAAAAAGAATGACTTTGGGAGGCTGAGGCGGGTGGATCACAAGGTCAAGAGATCGAGACCATCCTGGTCAACATGGTGAAACCTCGTCTCTACTAAAAATACAAAAAATTAGCTGGGCATGGTGGCGCGTGCCTGTAATCCCAGCTGCTCGGGAGGCTGAGGCAGGAGAATTGCCTGAACCCAGGAGGCAGAGGTTGCAGTGAGCCGAGATTGCACCATTGCACTCCAGCCTGGGTAACAAGAGCGAAACTTCGTCTCAAAAAAAAGAATGTAGAATTCGCAACCAAAAGAAATTGGTCTAGACAGAAGCAGCTGGACCCCACAGTGTGGCACGAGTTTATTTGAACATTCTACGGTGACCTGTCACTGAGGTCATCTGAAGATGGAGACCTTGTCTACAGCCACACCACCCTGAATGCACCCAATCTCATCTCATGATGTAGGCCTCGCCTTCAGTTCCAGCGGCCACTCTACTAACTGCCATTTCACACTGTACTGGCCAGGAGACTACTGGTGAAGACGAAGGCAGCCTTTGCTCCTGCCTTGAAGGTATGCTCATTTCCATCTTCTGACCGCAGTTTCTTCAGATGGGCCACTTGTACTTAAAATGTCTTTCTGATTTTTTTTATTTTCCCAACTCCAGTTTATCTAAGAATGTCCACATTTTAGAGCTTTATGACTTTGTATTCTTGATTTTTCTATCAAGATTTTTGCCTTAAATATTTCCCTCTATGTTCTGTTTCCTATGCCAATTTTATGTACACTTTTCCATAGGAAGGAACACAACAACCCTGCCATCATCATATCAGGAGAATCTTGATACCAAGTGCAGTATGAGACAGCCCATGAGAGGGGATTACAGACCAAAGTCTTCTGAATCGAGACATCCAAATCTGAAACCAAATATTAGAGCAGACTAAATAGAGATTTCTAAAAACAAAAACAAGTTATTTCATGATTTGAAACAGAATATGGCCTAATTTAAAGATTTTGGGGATTGTTTTAAAGAAAAATTTAAAGCATAAATACAACTAAATGAATATAAACAGTTATAAAATAGAACAATTATGAGGTTATAAAAGGCTTATGAGACTCTTGTAAGAGTTTTGCCATGTTGGCCAGGCTGGTCTTGAACTCCTGACCTTAGGTGATCGCCCACCTCAGCCTCCCAAAGTGCCAGGATTACAGGCGTGAGCCACTGTGCCCGGCCATATAACCTCATAATCTGTAATCCCAATCAAAACGGATTGGGATAGATTTGTTTATAAGATCTTATTAAAGTTAGCTAAAATATTAAACATACACTAACATAAAACTAAAATTTTGGTTAAAAAGTAAGCTATTCTTACGATATTAATTTGTTCTCAATGAGAATATAAGAGATAACAATTTTGTATTCTGAAATATATTTCCTTTTAAAATGTCTCAGACTTATGCCTTTTGACTTTTACTGTGTCTCTTTACATGTAATTTACATGTTCCACATTGATGCCTTCTGTTTCTTTTTTCCTGGGAAAGATATATCTTTACACTTGGCTGGGATAAGAACTCTCCCCCCACCCCCTTTTTTTTGAGATGGAGTCTCCCTTTCTCGCCCAGGCTGAATGAAGTGCAATGGCACAATCTTGTCTCATGACTCACTGCAACCTCCACCTCCAGGGTTCAAGTGATTCTCCTGCCTTTGGCCTCCTGGTGGCACCCACCACCATGCCCAGCTAGTTTTTTTTGTTTTTTTGTTTTGTTTTGTTTTAGTTTTAGTTTTGTTTTGTAGAGATGGAGTTTCACTCCATCTGTTGGCCAGGCTGGTTTTGTACTCCTGACCTCAAGTGAACACCCACCTCGGCCTCCCAAAGTGCTGGGATTACGGACATGAATCTCCACACCCAACCTCTCCTTCAAGTTTTCATCAGCTCCTTCAACTTCCCCCCAGGTTCTAATTCTGTCACTGTAATACCAAAATGCTTGCCTTTAAGGTCTAAAAAGCCAGTATTTGTCTCAGCTGTGCATGGTTTTGTGCTCTTGGCTTTTGCTGTGTCTGGGTTGTCTCCTGTGAGCAGGCAAGGAGCTTTCTGCTCATAGCCCTCTTCCTCACCGCACCTGCTAATGGTCCGGGGCACACTTTATCTGTGTCTCATTAACCTCGAGGGCCCTGGTCATCAGCGTGGCTTCCAGTCATTCAGTGGTCTTTACTGAGGTGCTGCCCACTCTCAGGCAAGCCTCGGTGCAGCCTGCTCAGGTAGCTGCTCAGGTCAGCCGTCAGCAAGATGGATGGGTCCTAGATTTAATTCATCAAACCACTGATGCACCAGCCCCGATGGCACATTTTCAGTTAACTTCTGTTAGCTGCCCGTGCAGAGTTGATCAGTTGAAGGAAAGTTTATTCCTGGTACAGCCATTAAGTGGCAGTTGGCTTGAAAAGTCCTGAGTTCTGAGCCAGCTTGGGGCCAAGCAGACCCCTGGTCCCTCAGGGTGGTCACTGGTCATGTGCTCACTGCAAAGGTCAGAGGCTGGAGGTTTCTGTTTGAATGACTGGAGCCCTTCTCTGGACTTAGCCACCTCCCAGCATCCACCTTCCTGAAAAGACCCTGGGGAGGAGGATTGAGAAGGAGTGAAAAGAGCTCCTGGTTCAGGATCCAGGCCAGGACTTAGAGGTCTCAGGTGTTCAGGGACCTCTGTCCCCAGAAAATAATCTACATTCTTGTCCCAGATCCTTCACTCCTGAGTGCTGCGACTCTGGGCAGGTCACTTCAAATCCCTCATTTCACTTCCCTGAGTTGTCAACTGTGGATGGCGGCCCCTGCCCTGCCCATTCCTCCAGGCTGAAGTGGGCATCACAGAAAAAAACAGAAACACTCTCCAAGGCTCTAAAGCATCAGGCCCATGTGAAACAGGAAGAAAATCGCATCCTCCACTGCCCTGGAGCCCCCGCCAAGCACCTTTGCTATATTATCACCACCAAGAGCATAATTTTTTTTTGGAGACAAAGTCTTGATCTTGTCACCCAGGCTGGAGTGCAATGGTGAATCCCAGCACTTTGGGATTGCCTGAGCTCAGGCTTTGGGAGGTCGAGGCAGGCGGATTGCCTGAGCTCAGGACTTCAAGACCAGCCTGGGCAACACGGTGAAACCCTGTCTCTACTAAAATACAAAAAATTAACCAGGCGTGATGGCATGCGCCTGTAGTTCCAGCTACTTGGAAGGCTGAGGCAGGAGGATTGCAAGAGCCTGGGAAGTGGAGGTTGCAGTGAGCTGAGACTGTACCACAGCACTCCAGCCTGGGCAATAGAGCGAGACTCTATCTCAAAAAAAAAAAAAAAAAAAAAGAGACTGTCTTTCCCTAGTGTATGTTCATACTGTCTTTGGTAAAAATGAGTTGGCTGTGGCCAGGTACAGTGGCTCACACCTATAATCCCAGCACTTTGGGAGGCTAAGGCGGATAGATCATCTGAGGTCAGGAGTTTGAGACCAACCTGACCAACATGGTGAAACCCCATCTCTACTAAAAATATAAAAATTATCTGGGCATCTGTAATCCCAACTACTCCAGAGGCTGAGGCAGGAGGATCGCTTGAACCTGGGAGGTGAAGGTTGCAGGGAGCCGAGATCGTGCCATTGCACTCCAGCCTGGGCAACATAGCAAGACTCCATCTCAAAAAAAGAAAAGAAAAAAATGATTTGGCTGTAAATGTGTGGATTTATTTCTGGGTTCTCTGTGTTCCATTTGTCTCTGTATCTATCCCTGTGCCAGCACCACACATTCTGATTACTGTAACTTCGTAGTATATTTTGAAGTCAGGTAGTGTAATACCTCCAGCTTTTCTCTTTTTCCTCAAGATTTCTTTGGCTATTCAGGGTCTTCTGTGGTTACATATGAATTTTAGGATTGTTTATTTCTGTGAAAAATTTTATTGGTTTTTCTTTTTTGAAAAAGACTGAATTAAATGTATAGATTGCTTTGGGCATTATGGATACTGTAACAACATCAAATTTTCCAATTCATAAACATATTTTTTTTTAGGCAGAGTCTCACTCTCTTGCCCAGGCTGGAGTGCTGTGGTGCAATCTCAGCTCACTGCAGCCTCCGCCTCCTGGGTTCAAGTGATTCTTCTGCCTCAGCCTCTGAATAGCTGGGACTACAGGCGTGCACCAAACCTGGCTAATTTTTGCATTTTTAGTAAAGGTGTGTTGGCCAGGATGGTCTCGATCTCCTGACCTTGTGATCCACCCACCTCAGCCTCCCAAAGTGCTGGAATTACAGGCGGGAGCCACCGATATCTTTCCTTTTTTATGTCCTCTTAAATCTTTTTTGCATTTTATAATTTTAGTGTGGAGATGTTTCATTTTTTTGGTAAAACTTTTTCTAGACTGTAAAATTTATTGCCGAGGTAAAATGAGGAAACTGAAGCAAGTATAAGAAAGTGAGAAGCTAATTTATTCAGCTCCCAGGTGAGGTTCTGTGGTCCAAGGTGGGGCCAGAGAAGTCCGGGCTGTTCACTGTGTAGGGTTTTATGGGGAGGGCAGGCAATTGATTGGCTATTGGGGGAAACAAAGAGAAGGCATTCCTATTGGCTGTTGAGGAGCAGGAAGTACATGGAGCTAAAGTAGGAAGTACATGAAACTAGCTGCCATTGGTAGGTGGGTGGGACCTTGGGTATGGCAGGCTGTTGCTGGGCAGAGTATGGTGGGGCTTCTTAAAAATTTTTCTGCAGGGTTTTTTAACAGTGGACTGGACGTTGGATGCATAATTTAGTGCTGAGTATAGGCTTGGGTATGGTATGCAGGGGCAGGTGTGGGGAAGCTATGTGGCGAAGCCATGAGCTCGGGTGATGATGCAGTTATCAGATGTGGAGAGTGATGAACGTGTCCGTTTGACTCCCGGCAGGGAAACTGGCCTTACATAGACATTTTATTTTATGTATCTATTGTGAATGGGATTGCTTTCTTGTTTCTTTTCTAGAATGTATGCTGTTGATATATAGAAATGCTACTGATTTTTGTATTTTGATTTTGTATTCTGCCAATTGACTGAATGTCAGCTTTAACAGTTTATTGGTGGGGTCACTAAGTTTATCTGAATGTAAGACAGTGTCATCTGCAATGAGGAAAATTTGTCTTCTTCCTTTCCAAATTAGATGGCCATTATTGCTTTCTGTTGTTTAATTGCTCTTGCTAAAATTAATGTTGAATAAAAGTGGTGACAGTGGACCGGGCGCGGTGGCTCATGCCTGTAATCCCAGCACTTTGGGAGGCCAAGGCGGGTGGATCACCTGAGGTCAGGAGTTCAAGACTAGCCTGACCGATATGATGAAACCCCATCTCTACTACAAATACAAAAATTAGCTGGGCATGGTGACATGCGCCTGTAATTCCAGCTACTCCGGAGGCTGAGACAGGAGAATTGCTTGAAGCTGGGAGGCAGAGGTTGCAGTGAGCTAAGATTGCATAATTGCACTCCAGCCTAGGCAACAAGAGCAAAACTTGGTCTCAAAAAAAAAAAAAAAAAAAAGTGGTGACAGTGTTCATCTCTCTTATTCCCAATGTTAGAGGAAAGATTTTCAACTTTTCACCATTCAGTACAGTGTTAGCTCTTGGTTTTTCAGACATGGCTTTATTGTTTTCAGGTATGCTCCTTCTATACTCAGTTCCTGAGACTTTTATACTGAAGTTCTACTGAATTGGATCAAATGCTTTTTATGTAGCTATTGAGATGATCATGTGGATTTTGTCCTTCATTCTATTGAAGTACCAAGTTGAATGATTTGTGTAAGTTGACTCATCCTTGCATCCCTGGGATAAATTCAACTTGATCATGGTTTATTCCTTTTTTAATTTAATTTAATTTGTTTGAGACAGAGTCTCGCTCTGGCACCCAGGCTGGAGTGCAGTGGCGCAGTCTTGGCTCACTGCAACCTCTGTCTCCTGGGTTCAAGAGATTCTTCTGCCTCAGCCTCCATGCGACACCATGCCTGGCTAATTTTTTTTTTTTTTTTTTTTTTTAATGAGTAGAGATGGGGTTTCATCACGTTGGTCAGGCTGGTCTCAAACTCCTGACCTCAAATGATCTGCCCTCCTTGGCCTCCCAAAGTGCTGGGATTACAGGTGTGAGCTACTATGCCCTGCCCATGGTTTGCTATCTTTTTGATTTCTTGATGGCTTCTGTTTGCTATTATTTTCTTGGTGATTTTGCATCTATGTTCATCAGGGATAATGGTATGCAGTTATCTATTTTTGTTGGGTCCTTGTCTGTTTTCTTTTTTTAAAATCAGGATAATGCTTGCCTTGTAGAATGCATTATGAAGAATTTCCTCCATTTCAACATTTTGGAATAGTATAAGAATGGATGTAGATTTTCTATAGCATTTGATAGCATTCAGCAATGAAGACATAAGTGCTGAGCTTTCTTTGCTGCTTTGCTGGGAATCTTTATTACTGATTCAGTCTTGTTACTCCTTATTCTGCTCAGGTTTTCTATTTCTTCCTACTGCAATTTTGTCTACCTTTTTGAAAAAAAAAAAAACTGGTTTTATTGATTTTTTTTTTTTTTTTTTTGAGACAAAGTCTCACTCTGTCTCCCAGGCTGGAGTGCAATGACATGATCTCAGGCACTGCAACCTCCGCCTCCTGGTTTCAAGCAATTCTCCTGCCTCAGCCTCCTCAGCCTCCCAAGTAGCTAGGATTACAAGTACCATGCCTAGCTAATTTGATATTGTTATAGTATCCATAATGCCCAAAGCTTGGATTGCAGCTGTGGGCCACCACACCCAGATAATTTTTTTATTTTTAGTAGAGATATGGTTACACCATATTGGCCAGGCTGGTCTCAAACCCCTGACCTCAAGTGCTCCACCTGCCTTAGCCTCCCAAAGTGTGGGATTCCAGGCACAAGCCGCCACCACGTCAGCCTTTTATATAAGTTTTCTCTTTTAAAAGGGTCCTAGTCAGGCCAGTTGACAAGCCCTAGGTCCCTTGAGTCTCATCTACTTCCATTGTGTGGCAGCAGTTTCTGTCCCTTCCCTGTTCCCCAGGAGCAGGACCAGCACACCTCTCCTTCCCTGCCCCAGGTCCTCCAGCCCCACCTCACCTCCTCCCAAGGCCACCCTCCTGGCATGCCCACTCCAGTGCCTGGGACTCAGGGGAGGAGAGGCAGGTGGTTGGTGTCTTGCCTGCAGCATAAAGACGACGCCAGTGGCCACCTGGAACACGGCACTCACAGTATCTGACATGTCAAACACAGCTTCCTTGTCCTGGGAGGCACATGGCAGCAGGTGAGGGCCTAACAGCCCCCTGGTACCCAGGGTCCCCACAGCCCCACCCCCACTGAGGCATCCTCACTGCCTTCCATGGGAAGAACACTCAGTACCCCAAGAAAGAAAGAGCAGAGAGCTCCAAGGGCAGCCACGGATGGGGCTGTGTGTACGGGATGGGAGGATGTATGGCAATCCTGGGGGACCCCTGCCTGGGTGTGCCAGAGCCCCGAGAACTGGCATGTGGTATGTAGGCAGTGGGCCTCCACCGGCCACCGCCCCCAGCTCACACCTGTCTTTGTTGTAAGTGCCAGAAGTCCCTTGAGGGTCATCAGGAGCCTGGCACACTACGGGAAGAGGGAGGGACAGGAGCTGGACCCAGGATCCTGCCTCCTGGCCACCAACCCCCATCAGCACAGAGGGCCCGCCCCGCTCCCTGCCCTGCTCACCTGCCCAAACACATGCCCCACAGTGGTTTTTCTTCTGGAGTATCAGGCTGCTTCTGGTGCTGGGGACAGAGGTGTGGATACTGAAGGGGCTGGACCCTTGGCTGGGTCAGCAGGGCACTGGCCAGATCCAGCAGAGAGGTGGGGCAGAGAGGAAGGAAGCTGCACGTGGTGGGTGGGGAATACAGAGGCCAGGAGGGGCAGGAGTTGGCAGCTCAAGGCTTACCTGTATGCATCCGATTCCTTGGTGCCATAGAGGATGAGGTCCTTGACCATCCTGCTGAGACAGGTCATGCACAGCGAAGCCCAGAACAGGAACTTAGCTGGGAAAGAGAAGAGGTTCCCAGTCACCAGGCCTCTCCCATCCCCACCCATACAGGAGGTAGGAGGAGGTTAGGCAGTTGAGTGACCCAGCTACATTCTCTTCTGGTTTTGTGGGAGACAAAGTCATGTTTAGTCGCCAGGCTGGAGAGCAGTGGTGTGATCTCAGCTCACTGCAATCTCCACCTCCCAGGTTCAAGCAATTCTCCTGTTTCAGCCTCCTGAGTAGCTGGGACTACAGGTGCCCACCACCACACCCAGCTAATTTTTCTATTTTTAGTAGAGACAGGGTTTCACCATGTTGGCCAGGATGGCCTCGATCTCCTGACCTTGTGATCTGCCCGACTCAGCCTCCCAAAGTGCTGGGATGAGAGGCGCGAGTCACTGCGCCCAACCTAAATTTTCATTTGTTGTAAAGATGGGGTCTTGCTATGTCGCCCAGGCTGGTCTGAAACTCCTGGGCTCAAGTAGTCTTCCTGCCTTGGCCTCCCAAAGTGCTGGGATTACAAATGTGAGCCACTGCACCTAGCCTGTTTTCTGTTATTGCTGTTGTTTTAAATAAACCAGCTTTACTGAGATATCACTCTCACAACAAATTACCCATTTATTTATTTATCTTTATTTTTATTTTTATTTTTTCTGAGATGGAGTCTTGCTCTGTCCCCCAAGCTGAAGTGCAGTGGCGTGATCTTGGCTCACCGCAACCTCTGCCTCCCAATTCAAGCAATTCTCCTGCCTCAGCCTCCCGAGTAGCTGGGACTACAGGCGCACACTGTCACGCCCAGCTAATTTTTTTTTTTTTTTTAATCTTAGTAGAGATGAGGTTTCACTGTGTTGCCCAAGCTAGTCTTGAACTCCTGAGCTCAGGCAATCCCCCCGCCTTGGCTTCCCAAACTGCTAGGATTATAGGCGTGAGCCACCATGCCTGGCCTTATTTATTTATTTTTATTTTATTTTTTGAGATGGAGCTTCACTCTTGTTGCCCAGGCTGGAATGCATTAGCGTGATCTTGGCTCACTGTAGCCTTGGCGTACCGAGTTCAAGCAATTCTCCTGCCTCAGCCTCCCAAATAGCTGGGATTACAGGCACCCGCCACCACACTAGGCTAAATTTTGTATTCTTAGCAGAGACAGGGATTCACTATGTTGGCCAGTGCTGGGATTACAGGCATCAGCCACTGTTCCCTGCCCGATTTACCCATTTAAAGTTTACACTTCAATGTACAACCATCACCACAACCAACCTGCCCATACAAAAGTGGGAGGAAACTAGAGAGAAGCCAGGCTCGGGGACAAAAGTGAGGCACAGGGCAGGGGGCTCTCTCCCTAAGATTCACCCACAAAGTCAGGCTCACTGGTGGCATCTGTGCTGCTTAGAGTCATGGCCCCAGAGTTGAGTTCTCAGGGGTGGGAAGAAGCAGGGATGGGCTGGAGCACAGGGAGTGACCTCCTCTACCCAAACCAGGTTGCCCAGGCCCCTCCCTGGAAAGAGGATCAGGGCAGGACGGAGCTGGGGGGAGGGATCTTTTGCAGAGTCCCAGGAGGGAGGCAAGAGCCCTGGGTCTCTCAGTACCAGGCACCCCTGCCATGGGTGACCCCTGGCCTGGATGACCTCAGTGCCTGCAGGCAATGAATGAGGTTTCACCAGGAGCCACAGGCCCCTGCCCTCTGGTCTCATGTGTGTCTGCAGGTCCTGGCGGGTGCTGACGGTGACTCTCCCTGGGGAGGAGGGGCAGGGCATCTCACCTGCTTGGAGCAGCTCTTGGTCCACACCCAGGAGATTGCCCGAAATACACACACACACACACACACACACACACACACACACACACACAAGAAGTCCTGGTTGCCAGGGCAACCGCCTGGAGCTCAGCCTCTTCCCTGGCCCAGTTGCCTTGGGTGCACACTTATCCCCAAGCACGGAGTTGCCCTGGGTGCAGGACATGGATCCGCTTCCATTATCTCCAGCAACCGCTCAGAGTCTTGGGTCAGCGCCACAGTGTGGCTGTGGGAAGCCAATGGCAGGAGGGTCAGGGCAGCCACGGTCCTCCCCTCCAGCAGAGCCCCTGAACCTCACCCGGCTCACCTCAGAATTCAGTGGCTCCAGCAAATGGGCTGGTCCCTCTGCAGGTGGATGTATCCCGAGAAAGAGAAGAGGGTGTCACATTCCCTGTGGGAGAGGAGGAGCAGAGGCTCGGGTGGAGGCTGGGGCAAGGCCTGCCAGTGACAGTGGGACCCTGCAGGCCTGGGTCAGCCTGGGAAGAAGGGTTGCTCTGCAGCACTGCACCTGAATGAGGAATCCAGTATCTCCCAGGGACATATTGCTCTTAAGGAAAAAAAGAGGCCAGAAGTGGGGCCAGGTGAACCAAGGACTGGGCCTGAGCTGTGGGGCCTCCTGGGGTGAGGCTTTGCCAGGAACACACAAAGCCTGAGCCTCTGCCACTCAGCATCTCCGAGCAGGGGCAGAATGGGAGGAGGCCCGTATTGGGTATGACTTGGCCAGGGGAGGTTTTGTTTGAGGACCTCAGAAATAGCTGGGGTGCTGGGCGCAGTGGCTCATGCCTTTAATCCCAGCACTTTGAGAGACTGAGGCAGGCAGATCACCTGAGGTCAGGAGTTCAGGACCGGCCTGACCAATACAGTGAAATCCAGTGTCTCTCTACTAAAAATGCAAAAATTAGCCAGGTGTGGTGGCACCCACCAGCTACTGGGGAGGCTGAGACAGGAACTGCTTGAACCCAGAGGCAGAGGTTGCAGTGAGCCAAGATTATGCCCCTGCACTCCAGCCTGGGCTACAAAGTGAGACTCTGTCTTAAAAAAAAAAAAATAGCTGGGGCTCACACAAGTGCTCCTCTCACCCTGCTCCCCCTGCCACCTAGGTCTGCTGTTCAGGCTGCCATCACACCACTCTCTGCCCCCTCAGTGTCCCTGGGGGACTCACACCTCTGCCTGAAAAACCATGGTCCTGATGAGCTCCCACAGGAGGCCTTAAAGTGTGGAGCAGGTCTGCCACATCCACAGCCTGAGGTCCATGGCATGTTGCCTCCCTGGGGAGCCAGGACCACTGCTGAGCTTTAACTGCCCCCTGGGCTCCCCAAGGTTGGGACAGCACGGAGCAGGGGCGTGGAGGGGCAAGAGGCATCTGGTCATTCCGGAAGTATCCTGTGTGCACCTTTCCTGTGGTTTCGCCAATGAGCTCCTGGAGGTGAAGGGAGGCCCAGGGTCATGGTCTATGTGCCCAGAGGGGTCAACCCAGGCAGGGCAGGCTTCATCAGCCCTGCCGACCTCCCTCCCTACCCAAGGGTCCCAGGTCCTGCTCAAATCTTCTGCTGAAGGCTTTCGGATTTTTGTTTTAAGTTTTTGTAGTTATGGAACCTCGTTATATTGCCCAGGCTGGTCTTGAACTCCTGGCCTTGAGCAATCCTCCCACCTCAGCCTCCCAAAGTGCTAGAATTATATGCATAAGCCACTGCACCTGACCTGTGTCCTGAGATCTTGGCTGTTGTCTGCCAATGGTAAAGTAAACAGAATGATGGTGCTAATGCTCAAAGTGGCCCAGCATGGAGAGGGGAGGCCAGGAAAGCGGTGGGGCTGCAGGGGTCGTACCTTCAGGAGGCGCTCCTTGGCTGTGTGGATGTCCTCATCATTGGGGTTGAGTTTGAAGGTGCCCTGGGCCCACTCCTCAGCAACCTATAGCAGGTGACAGCAATGCCATGGGTCAGGTGAGCAGGTATCAGCAGCCAAGAGAGCCCCTGCTGCCCAGACCTCACTTCCCATTTCTCTGCTGACCACATCAAAGTCAGGAGGGGAACAGTCCTTGGCCTGATGTCACATCCTGTCCTCTATCTGAACCTTGGAAACCAAGGTACCTTCCTGCCTCAGCAGAGCTGACCTCAGGATGTCTAAAGTGTCCCCTCCTCCTAATCCCCGAGCTCAGCTCTATGCAGTGCATACCGCTCTGGCCAGAGTGTCTGGACGAGTGTCTGGATGGCTCATGCCTGTAATCAGTGCTTTGGAAGGTCAACATAAGAGGATAGCTTGAGGCCAGGATTTCGAGACCAGCCTGGGCAATATAGTGAGACCCCATATCTACAAAAAAGAAAAAAAAAGAAAAGGGAAAAAAAAAGGTGTTTTGTTTTTTTTTTAATTAGCCGGGCTTGGGGACCCCAAGCTAACTTGCAAGGCTGGGGTGGGAGCATCATCTGAGCTCAGAAGTTAGGATAGCGCCAGTGCGCTACAGCCTGGGTGACAGGACCAAACCCAGCCTCTAACAAATTTTAAAAATTAAAAATAAACAGTAAAAACAAGGACACTGCCCGGGCTCAGCCTTCGCCTCCGGAGGGCCTCAGCAGGAGCTGAGCTCCTCCCACCTCCGCCGCCCGGTCCCCAGTCCTCCAATCCTGAACCCCCAAGCCCGTTCACCTTAAACCGGAGGAGCCCCAACTGCGGGATGCCCAGGGGAAGGAGCCTGCTGGGGGCCTGGACTCCCCAACTCATTCCGCCGGGCTTCCGGGCACCTCCTGCCCCGGGCCCTCAACTTCCGCAGTGGCCACCGCTATTCCTTGAAGCCCCGGCGGGGGTTGTCGGAGAAGTCCGCGCGGAAGCTCCAGAGGCCGTCCAGCTCCGTGCATTCCTGTGACAGGCTCTCCCAGGGGTACAGCATCCCGCTCTGCAGCGCCAGCGCGCAGCCTCACAACAGCGGCCAAAGCGCCGCCCTGGCCACCACCGGCCCCAGGTCATGCTTCCCGCTCCGCTGCTCGGCCTCCAACTGCCGAGCTAAGAGCAGCGCAGTAGGAGCCCGGCGGGCGTGTCGCGTGACGTACCGATGCCGTCCATGCCATCTTGGTTGAGGGGCAGTGCCAGGCCTCCGGGAGTCGGGCGGGGCCGGGCGCTGCCCATTGGGGCCGGCGGCTGGGAACGCCGGCCTAGGCCTTTGGGGAAGCCGGACCCTCAGTCCCAGCCAAGAAGGGCGAGGTCTGCTCCTCACCCCGCCCCAGGGTGGATGATCCAAGGCCGCAGGCCAGGACAGGACCCCTGAGATCCGTGGGATTCCGCTGTTTCTTCAGGGAGCATCTCCACTGGCTTTCCGGAGCCGGACTCTCAGCAGGCCCCAGCGGAGCCTCTGCCTTGCCTGTCGGGTGCAGACCCTGGCAGGGATGCATATCCTTGGGATGCGGCCATAGCCTTGACCCTGGGCCTCTGGGGCCCCGACCCTAACCCAGGGGCCAGGAGCTGTCTCTTGGCATTGCAGGCACATAAAGATGTAGGGAGAGAGGCTGGGCGCTGTGGCTCGCGCCTGTAATCCCAGCACTTTGGGAGGTCAAGGTAGAAGGATCACTTGAGGCCAGGAGTTCGAGACCAGCCTGGCCAACATGGTGAAACCCCGTCTCTACTAAAAAATACCTAAATAAATAAATAGCCGGGTGTGGTGGCAGGTGCCTGTAATCCCAGCTACTAGGGAGGCTGAGGCTGGAAAATCGCTTGAACCTGGGAGATGAAGGTTGCAATGAGCAGAGATTGTGCCACTGCACTGTAGCCTGGGCGACAGAGCAAAACTCTGCCTAAAAAAAAAAAAAAAAAAAAAAAAATGCAGACAGAGGGTGCTCTGTGGGACTCCACTTTACTCCAGTAGGAAGGTACCATGTCGGAGAGGTAGAGGAGGAGATCTGGAGACAGCAAAGGAGACATAGGTTTACTGAAGGGACTTTCATAGAGGGAAGGTGCCATGGCTGTAGCTGGACATGAGAACCACTACCATTTGTAAAAAGCATGCAGCTAACCTAACATTTTCACCTAGCATCCTCGACCTGTTACTGGTGGAAGGCATCCGAATTCCCCGTGGTGAATCTGTACACATCTGCAACAACCTCAATTCTTTCCTCCTTAGAAGAAAGAATTCGACTAAGGGTCATCAGTCAGAAATCCAGCTGGAGACAAGTGGCAGAGCAGGAGTAACAGTTTATTAAAAAGCAGACCGGGGCTGGACATGGTGGCTCATGCCTGTAATCCCAGCACTTTGGGAGGCCAAGGCAGACAGATCACAAAGTCAATAGATCAAGACTATCCTGGCCAACATGGTGAAACCCCAACTCTACTAAAAATACAAAAAGTAGCTGGGCTTGGTGGCAGGCACCTGTAACCCCAGGTACTTGGGAGGCGGAGGAGAGAGAATTGCTTGAACCCATGAGTCTGAGCTTGCAGTGAGCCGAAATGGCACCATTGCACTCCAGCCTGGACAAGAGCAAAACCCCATCTCAAAAAAAAAAAAAAAAAAAAAAAAAAAAATAGGCGGATCAAAGACTCAAAAGAATGCAACTGTTTGTCTCTTATCTACCCACACCTTTTAAAAATGTCTTCCTCTTTCCCTAACATCTCTCCTTTCTCCTTTAAATATTGAACCCCTCAAAATAATCTTTGAAGAAGGACACAGACCTGCCTCCCAGGCATGCATCCTTAATGTTGGCAAAATAAACTTTCTTTTTTTTGAGATGGAGTCTCATTCACTCTGTCACCCAGACTGGAGTGCAGTGGTGTGATCTTGGCTCACTGCAACCTCACCTTCCAGGTTCAAGTGGTTTTCCTGCCTCAGCCTCCTGAGTAGCTGGGATTATGGCTAATCTTTGTATTTTTTGAAGAGATGGGGTTTCACCTTGTTGGCCAGGCTGATCTCAAACTCCTGGACTCAAGTGATCCACCTGCCTCAGCCTCCCAAAGTACTGAGATTACAGGCATGAGCCATGGCACCCAGCCCAAAATAAATTGTCTAAATTGATCAAGACCTGTCTCTGATACTTTTTGGTTATCCCTTCTGCTATGATGGGAAGCTTCCTGAGGCCTCACCAGAAACAAATGCCAACACTATGCTTCTTGTACAGCCTGCAGAACCATGAGCAAATACATCTCTTTTCTTTATAAATTACCCAGTTCCAGGTATTCTTTGACTGCAATGAAGAAAGGACTAATACAAAGAGACTCAAGATTTCCCATTATTTGGCTAGGTAACACCAGTAATCTCAACACTTTGGGAGGTCAAGGTGAGGGAATCACTTGAGGACAGGAATTTGAGACCAGCCTGGGATCCCATCTCTACAAAAAATAAAATCAAGTCCAGGCGTGGTGGCTAACGCCTGTAATCCCAGCACTTTGGGAAGCTGAGGCAGGTGGATCCTGAGGTCAGGAGTTTGAGATCAGCTTGGCCAATATGGTGAAACCCTGTCTCTATGAAAAATACAAAAAAATTAGCCAGGTGTGGTGGCATGTGCCTGTAGTCCCAGCTACTCAGGATGCTGAGGCAGAAGAATCACTTGAACTCGGGGGTCGAAGGTTACAGATAGCTGAGATTGTGCCATACATAGGACTCCAGCCTGGGCAACAAAGAGATTCCGGCTCAAAAAATTAATTAATTAATTAATTAAATAGACCAGGTGCAGTGGCTCATGCCTGTAATCCCAGCACTTTGGGAAACCAAGGCAGGCAGATCACCTAAGGTCAGGAGTTCAAGACCAGCCTAACGGACATGGTGAAACCCCATCACTAATAATACCAAAATGAGCCAGGTGTGGTGGTGCATGCCTGGAATCCCAGCACTTTGGGAGGCCGAGTCAGATCAATCACTTGAGGCCAGGAATTCAACACTGGCCTGGACAACGTGCAAAACCCCCTTTCTACTAAAAATACAAAAATTAGCCAGGCATGGTGGCACACACCTGGAGTCCCACCTACTTGGGAGGCTGAGGCACTAGAATAGTTTGAACCCAGGAGGTAGAAGGTTGCAGTGAACCGAGATCACACTGCAGCACTCCATCCTGGGCAACAGAGCAAGACTCTGTCTCCAAGGGAAAAAAAAAAAACTGGAAAGGGGTCCTCTCAGCATCTCTTCTGGTGACCCATTTTCAGAGTTTCGCTCTCTTGCCCAGGCTGGAGTGCAATGACAACAGTCACTATAACCTTGAACTCCTTGGCTTAAGCAATCCTCCTGCCACACCCAACTAATTTTTAGAAATGCCCATTTTAGAAATGGGGTCTCATTGCCGAGTGCAGTGGCTCACACTTGTAATCCCATCACTTTGGGAGGCCGAGGCAGGAGGATCACCTGAGATCAGGAGTTCAACACCAGCCTGACCAACATAGTGAAACCTTGTCTCTACTAAAAAATACAAAATTAGCCAGCCACGGGAACATGCGCCTGTAATCTCAGCCATTTCAGGAGGCTGAGGCGGGAGAATCGCTTGAACCCAGGAGGCAGAGGTTGCAGTAAGCCAAAATTGTGCAGTTGCACTCCAGCCTGGGCAACAAGACAAAACTCTGTCAGAAAGAAAGAAAGAGAGAGAGCAAGCACAAAAGAAGGAGGGAGGGAGGGAGGGAAGGAAGGAAGGGAGGGAGGGAAAGAAAGAAAGAAAGAAGGAAGGAAGGAAGGAAGGAAGGAAGGAAGGAAGGAAGGAAGGAAGGAAGGAAGGAAAGAAAAAGAAGAAAGAAAGAAAGAAGAAAGAAAAGAAAGAAATGGAGTCTCAGTATGTTGCTTAGTCTGGTCTCAAACTTCTGGGCTCAAACAAGCTTTCTACCTCAGTCTCCCAAGTAGCTGGGACTCTAGGCATGTGCCATCACACCTGGCTAAGTTTCGTAATTTTTTTTTAATCTTTTTATTTTTAGATGGATTTTGTTTTTTTTGTTTTTTCTTTTTTCTTTTTTTTTTTTTTTTTGAGATGGAGCCTTACTCTGTTGCAAGGCTGCAGTGCAGTGGCATGATTTCGGCTCATTGCAACCTCCACCTCCCTGGTTCAAGTGATTCTCCTGCCTCAAGTACCTGAGTAGCCGAGACTACAGGCACATGCCACCATGCCCAGCTAATTTTTGTATTTTTAGTATAGACAGTGTTTCACCATGTTGGCCAGGATGGTCTCAATCTCTTAACCTTGTGATCTGAGCACTTTGGCCTCTTAAAGTGCTGGGATTACAGGCATGAGCCACCCTGCCCGGCCTGTGTTTCCAGTCTTTATAACATTAGGGTCTGATGGATTTATTGGTCCCAGTTCCCAGGAATGGGGTAAGCAGAATACTTGTTTTTGTTTTTAATTATCTTTTTTTTGGCTGGACGTAGTGGCTTACACCTATAATCTCAGTACTTTGGGAGACTGAGGCGGGCGGATTGCTTGAGCTCAGGAGTTCAAAACCAGCGTAGGCAATATAGCAAAAAAGCATCTCTACAAAAAATACAAAAATTAGCCTGGCATGGTGGCACATACCTGTAGTCCCAGCTACTCAGGAGGCTGAGGTGGGAAGATTGCTTGAGCATGGGAGGTTGAGGCTGCAGTGAGCTATCATTGCACCACTGCACTACAGCCTGGGGGACAGAGCAAGAACCTGCCTCAAAAAAAAAGATATTGGCCATAGAGGAGAAATAACATTTGAAGGCAGAGTGTGGTGGCTCACACCTGTAATCCTAGTACTTTGGGAGGCTGACTCGGGTGGATCACCTGAGGTCAGGAGTTCAAGACTGGCATGGCCAACAGGGCAAAACTCCAACTCTACTAAAAATACCAAAAATTACCTGGATGTGGTGGTGTGCACCTAAATTCCCAGCTACTCTGGAGGCTGTGTCAGGGGAATCACTTGACCCTGAAGGCAGAGGTTGCAGTGAACTGAGATCATGCCACAGAGCAAGACTCTGTCTCAAAAAAAAAAAGAAAAAAAGGCGGCCAGGCAAGGTGGCTTACGCCTGTAATCCCAGAAATTTGGGAGACTGAGGCAGGCAGATCACCTGAGGTCAGGAGTTCAAGACCAACTTGACCAACATGGTGAAACCCCATCTCTACTAAAAATACAAAATTAGCTAGGCGTGGTGGCAGGCACCTGAAATGCCAGCTACTCAGGAGGCTGGAAAAGGAGAATTACTTGAACCCGGGAGGCAGAGGTTGCAGTGAGCCGAGATCACGCCATTGCACTCCAGCCGGGCAACAAGAGTGAAACTCCAAGTCAAAAAAAAAAAGAGAGAAAATAAATAACATTTGTTATATATGGACCCAGAAGCTAATGTGTGTAAAGTATTTCCAGTCATCAGAGAAGTACAATTGTAAGCATATAATTCCATCCTTGTTGATATCTAGTCATAATGTACCATCACTCCTAAAA